AACGCTGAACATGTGTCCACGGGGATGAGTCCCTTCATGGCCAATTACGGGTGTCACCCCAGGGCCTTCCCAGGGGAGGGGGAGGGGAGGTGGAGTGTGCCGGCAGCCGAACAATTTGTGGAAGAAATGGAAGCTTTACACCAACAACTTAAGGTTAACCTGGAGAGGGCTAAGGAAGTGTACAAGAGGCAGGCAGACAAGCACCGCAGAGAAGGGGAGACTATAAGGGTTGGGGACCAGGTGTGGTTGTCAACCCAAGGGTTACCGTTCAAAGGGGGGTGTAAGAAATTACGGCCAAGGCGACTGGGACCCTTCGAATTAACCCAACAGGTGAATCCTGTGACCTTTAGACTCAAATTGCCCACCAACATGAAACTACACCCGGTGTTCCACAGGTCCTTGCTCTCACCGTACCGGGAAGGGAGGGAATTTCAGGGGCGAGAAAGAGAAATCCCCATGCATCCACTGGTGGAGGAAAGGGAACTTAGTGGTCACACAGCGGAAATTCTCGATTCAAGGTGGAGAGGGAGAAGGGTGGAATATTTGGTGGCTTGGGAAGGGGAACCAAGTTGGAAAACACTTGGGTTCCTGCAGAAGAGATCCGGGAGGAGTTTCATAGCAGGTTCCCAAGGAAGCCCAAACCCCTTGGAAGGTTCTGGGGAGAGCAATTTGGCACCACGGAGGATGAAGAAGAGTTTGAGGGGTGGCCAGCCTCAGAAGAGGAGGAAGGAGGGGAAGCCGAGGGAGAGGAATCCGACTGGGGAGATTGGGCAGCGGAAAGAGACAGCAACAGATGGGGAGCGGTGTTTTGAATCTTCTGAGGAAGGGGATAGCTCCTTCCCGGGGTTTCCCACGCCGCTGTCCGAGGAACGGAAGGAGGAGGGGGAGGGCCCTGGGAGGGAGGTGGATGTCAGGGAACTGCCATCAGAGGCAAGAGGAGAGGTTAGACACTCCAATGATGCAGGGGAGGGAACTAGCAAGGAGAGAGAGAGAGCTTCCGCTGGGGAAGGAAATCCAGGGGACACCAGGGGGAAAGGGGAGGCTGAGAGTACTGCGGAGGGGAGGCTCCGAGACTCTTCCAGTGAAATCAGCGGAGAGAGCACAGGACCTCCGCTTGGCACGCCCACGCTGCGCAGAAGGATTCCGCGCAGAGAATCTAGGAGGAGACTGGGCGTCAAAGAATTTCTATGTTGGAGGAAGTTTAGGAGACGCCCACTCATGGATTCTGCCAGTGACTAAGACAGTCGCGTTGTAAGGGCTGTCAAACCAGGGAAAGGTTTAGCCATACGACTAGCTTGGAGCAGTTTGCAGTTTACGCACAAGCAACCCCAATTCCCATTACATTTCCCCTCAGAGCTTATTCTCACTCAGAGAGTACACCCACCTTCCCAGAATATGTGCAAATGAGACACTTTGGAGAGGGTGAATACATGATCACCGAGATTTAGGGTGCGGAGAAAGGATTTGCAGTTCTTACAGAACTCTGATGCAAATCTATCTCCGAATGGGGGACTGATACGGAACAGACAGAGACTCGGAAACCACTTGTTACCCGCCATAATTCCCCAAGCGGCAGGTCACATACGCACAGGAAAGACCCCACTGATGCCAAATCACCGGACCAAGCCCTTCCTCTGGGCATGGCCAGGTGGCAGACTGTGCAAGCCAAGACCCTATTGTTTTCTGATTGTAGGTACGCAGGGTACATACAGGGTATGTATTGGAAGGCACGTCCATCAGAAAAGGGGAGGGTTATACAAAATTAACATATGGGCAGGGGGGAAATAACATGCAAATACAGGGTATGTATTATTTCCCCCCTGCCCATATGTTAATTTTGTATAACCCTCCCCTTTTCTGATGTAATGGTGATGTAGTAGTGATGTAGTGATGATGCTTTCCGAACTGTATTTTGGGAAATGGTGGGAAGTTTTAAAAGTCCTTGTTACCCCATCCTAGGGGTTCAATCTTGTCTTGAACCTGTTGCGCAATAAATGTGGATCTTCTCCAACTTGCTCCAGTCTCTGGCTGTACTCCTTTTGTTCCAAAGGGATCCACAGGCTTAGCCCGACGAGCTAGGTGGCTGAGCAGCCTCGCACCTGGATTTTTTCCGTAACACGGCTGAACCATTGCGATTAAGGAATTTAAAGTGGATTGGGTACATTTTCGTTCCAAATTACAGGAAGGAATAAATACAAAGTGCTTCGTATGTCAGCATCACATTTCTTTAATTGTAGGTATTCTATACTCAGTTTTTGTAGCTGATTGTAGGCAGCAAAGGTAAAGGTAAAGGGACCCCTGACCATTAGGTCCAGTCGTGACCGACTCTGGGGTTGCGCGCTCATCTCACTGTATAGGCCAAGGGAGCCGGTGTTTGTCCGTAGACAGCTTCCGGGTCATGTGGCCAGCATGACTAAGCCGCTTCTGGCAAACCAGAGCAGCACACGGAAATGCCGTTTACCTTCCCGCCGGAGCGGTACCTATTTATCTACTTGCACTTTGACGTGCTTTTGAATTGTTAGGTTGGCAGAAGCAGGGACCGAACAACGGGAGCTCACCCTGTCACGGGGATTCAAACCGCCGACCTTCTGATCGGCAAGTCCTAGGCTCTGTGGTTTAACCCACAGCGCCATCCGCGTCCCTCATTGTAGGCAGCAGTGCCCTCTTTATGTATTCAAATGGTGTAAACATGTATGTTGTCTTCTAGGGCAGTGTTTCCCAACCACTGTTCCGCGGCACACTAGTGTGCCGCGAGATGTTGCCTGGTGTGCCGCGGGAAAAATTAAAAAATTCGAAAGATTTTTTTTTTAAAGTCAAATTTTCGATTGGGGCGCCGTCACTAGATGACCCCTGGGGTTCCCTCCCTCCCTCCCGCTCTGCGCCTCCCTCCTCCTCCTCCGGGGAGGCCCTTCCTGGCTCTCGGCCAAGGCTTGGCGGCTGCCACTCACTCACTCGCTCGCCCACCCGTCCCTCCATCCCTGCACCCGGCCTCTCCCCCTCCGTCCCCGGCGCGGGGGCTGCTGGGATCCGTAGTCCCCTCGCCCTTGGGCTCCGCGCCCGCGCGGGGTGCGCGAACTACGTTTCCCAGCGTGGTCTGGCGGGCCGGGCGTTTTGTTTGAAGCGCTCTTCTCCCGGCCATGGAATGAGCGCAGCGGCGGCGGCCGGGCGGGCAGGGGCTCTTCCGTGCAGACCCCGCGCAGCCTGCCTGCGCCCCCGCGGAGATTGGGCGGCAGGATGGAGCCCGGGGATCCCCGCGGAGGTGGAGCGGCGGAGGCGGAGGCTGCCCCCCAGGAAGGGCTGCGTCGGGGGGGGTGGTTATTTTTGCAATGCTGCATCCGCGCCGGAGGGGACGCATCGGACCGCGGGGAGACCCCTTGGCGGGCGTGCAAGGCAATGCATGCGTGCAGGCGTTGCATGGAGTGCAGTGCAATGCAATGGCAACGCGGCGCCCTGCATGCATGCATGCAACTTCCACCGGCGCTCCGGACTTGGCAGGTGAGGGGGGTCCCCAGTGGGCGGCAGAGAGAGCCGGGAGGGCGAAGGGGAGCCGGGGGGGGGAGCAGCGCTGCTCCCCGAGCCGAGCCCGGGGGGAAACTTCGGCGTCGTTGCGCCGGGTGTTGGAAGCGGAGGCTGGCGGGGGCCCCTCACCTGCAAAACCTGGTCGCCTCTCATATATTTCGTGCATTGCATTCATCGCCCGCTTTCTCCTCCAAGGAGCTCCCGGGGGCACGCGTGGTTCTCCCCGTGTTATCCTCGCAACAACAGCCCTGCGAGGTGGGTCAGGCGAGTGGCCCAAGGGAGCACCCAGGGATTGTCCTGGCCAGGTGGGGTGATTTGAACCCTGCTCTCTGCCCGGTCTTCGTCCTCATTTAGCCCCCACATGTGCATGACTGTGCATGACTGAGGTTTTCCCCCCTCGTCTTGGCTATGGTGTGAGTCTGTGCTGTTAATTAATGGGGTTCTGCCTTCGGAGAAGATGAGCCAGCCCTCAAGGAGGTGATTATGTAATTTGCTAGCAATTCATGTCCCTCCCGGCGTGACGCTGCGCGCTGACGTCACAGGGCTGTAATGGTGGTGTGCCTCGATATTTTTTTCATGAAACAAGTGTGCCTTTGCCCAAAAAAGGTTGGGAAACACTGTTCTAGGGATCCAAATACACACACACACACACACACAAACAAACAAAATGAACACACAAGCAAGCAAGACTCCAAAGTGCTTCTGTTCCCAAAAAGGGCAGGAGGTGATGTTCTGATCTCTTCACCACTTGTAATTGATCTCTGAGACACTGAGGGAAGCGAAAGAAAGAAAGAAAGAAAGAAAGAAAGAAAGAAAGAAAGAAAGAAAGAAAGAAAGAAAGAAAGAAAGAAAACTTTCCCTTTTCAACTTTGCTTGGAGAGCAACCTTCTCCAGGATTTCTCTTTTGCACACGGTTCCAAAAACAAACAGGGGGAAAGGGAATGAGAGATCCTTTTCTAGGTTTTCCCCTTGCAAATCAGCATCACTCTGGTGCTCAGCAGATCCTTTTAGACTCTGGAGCAACCAGGAGGGGTTGTGGTCAGAGGAAGTCCCCCAAAAGCTAGGAAGAAGAAGCAGCGTTTTTGATATCCCGCTTTATCACTACCTGAAGGAGTCTCAAAGCAGCTAACATTCTCCTTTCCCTTCCTCCCCCACAACAAACACTCTGTGGGGTGAGTGGGGCTGAGAGACTTCAGGGAAGTGTGACTGGCCCAAGGTCACCCAGCAGCTGCATGTGGAGGAGCGGGGATGCAAACCCAGTTCACCAGATTATGAGTCTACCACTCTTAACCACTACACCACACTGGCCTTCACCCAGTGCTGAGAACCAGGCTAGCCCTTCCCCAACTATGGTCCTGGAGTGTCCACTGGGATGGTGGGAGAGGATCCCTCCTTCCCCTCTCCTCCCTCTTCTCCCTCCCTTGAAGCCTCTAGGTCCCTCCCTCCCTAAATCTCTGACCTTCCTTGCCTCCCTCCCACAGTCCAGCCCAAGGTGAAGATCACCCCCACAGACAAAGTTGAATCTTCACCACACAACACTCTGCTGATTTGCACTGTGGGCAGCTTCTTCCCTGCGGGGATCGAGATCAAGTGGTTCAGGAATGGGAAGGAGGAGCCCAAAGTGTGGAGCACGGACCTCATCAGGAATGGGAACTGGACCTTCCATATTGAGGTGATGCTGGAGACAACGCCAGAACGTGGAGACGTCTACACCTGCCAGGTGGAGCACGCCAGCTTCGAAGGCCCCATCACAGTGCAGTGGGGTAGGATGCCTTGCCAGCCCTGACCCATCTTCTGCCCAAGGAAGTGGGGGGCATTCCTGGGGGCTGGATGGGTTGCTCCCCCCTCAGGGGGCTGATCCCAGGCCTGCCTTTCCCCACTCACGGTTTTTTCTTTCTTCAGAGCCACAGTCGGACTCTGCCAGGAGCAAGATGTGGACAGGGATTGTGGGGATTGTGCTGGGGCTGGTCTTTGGGGCCACTGGACTCGCCCTTTACCTGAAGAACAAGAAAGGTGAGGGTGGGGTGCCAGGGGGAGAGGGAGGGTTGGGTGTGGGGCTGGATTGGGCTCCAGGCTCTCCTCCTCTTCTTAGGCAGAGGATCTGGAGAGGGTTCTGTGTCTTCTCCACTCCTAGGAGGTCCCTCTTGGTGTCTCAAATGGAGCCTCAGCTCTTATGGAGATGGTCTGAGGTTTAAATCTGTAGATGAAGACCTAAACCTCCTATCCAACATATGAGGGAGAAATTCAAAAACCACTCAAAAGGACACAAATATTTTGCAGCTTACTGCAAAACATACAATTACTTACTACAAAACATTTAATTCCTTATTTTAAAGTTTTTATTTTATTAATTCACCCCTCATAGTCCATAGCACAGAACGAGAGAAAAAGGTTCCTAACTGTGCCTGGACTGTGTTATCTTGATGGCGGCGGTGTGTTCCCAGAGAAGCTATTTCAGGGGATATCTGGTGCTGACTGAATCTTTCTATCCTTTTCTCTCTCTCCTCAGCCTGCAGGTAACTTTCCTCTCTGCTCTTCCATCCTCCTCCCCCACCAACCCCCTTCTCCTGGCTGCTTGGTGTGCCCCCGCCATGGCTTCCTTTTAGAACAGAGGGGAGGGGCTTCCTATGGATAAATCCATCCCCTTGAGGCTCACACTCCTGGAAGTGGGTCTCCAAGGGAATTTACCACCTGGGAGACAGTCAAGCAAAGTTCCTTAGCAGAGGCCGAGTGAGGAGACCAGGGCTGGCGTTTGGCTTGGGGGCCACATTTGCTCCAGGGTCCATGGTTCCCCATTTCTGATCTAGACAGATCTCCTTCGTCTCTTCTGAACCTCCTCTTCTCCACTGCCAAAGCCAGCCAAGTCCCCCTCCCTCTGCCTCCTTCCCTCCTCAGAGTCATAGAATCATAGAGTTGGAAAAGACCACAAGGGCCATCGAGTCCAACCCCCTGCCAAGCAGGAAACACCATCAGAGCACTCCTGACATATGGTTGTCAAGTCTCTGCTTAAAGACCTCCAAAGTAGGAGACTCCACCACACTCCTTGGCAGCAAATTCCACTGTTGAACAGCTCTTACTGTCAGGAAGTTCTTCCTAATGTTTAGGTGGAATCTTCTTTCTTGTAGTTTGGAACCATTGCTCTCTGTCCACTTCTCTGGAGCAGCAGAAAACAACCTTTCTCCCTCCTCTATGTGACATCCTTTTATATATTTGAACATAGCTATCATATCACCCCTTAACCTCCTCTTCTCCAGGCTAAACATGCCCAGCTCCCTTAGCCGTTCCTCATAAGGCATCGTTTCCAGGCCTTTGACCATTTTGGTTGCCCTCCTCTGGACACGTTCCAGTTTGTCAGTGTCCTTCTTGAACTGTGGTGCCCAGAACTGGACACAGTACTCCAGGTGAGGTCTGACTAGAGCAGAATACAGTGGCACTATTACTTCCCTTGATGTAGATGCTATACTCCTATTGATGCAGCCCAGCATTGCATTGGTTTTTGAGCTGCCGCGTCACACTGTTGGCTCATGTCAAGTTTGTGGTCAACCAAGACTCCTAGATCCTTTTCACATGTACTGCTCTCAAGCCAGGTGTCACCCATCTTGTATTTGTGCCTCTCATTTTTTTTGCCCAAGTGCAATACTTTACATTTCTCCCTGTTAAAGTTCATCTTGTTTGTTTTGGCCCAGTTCTCTAATCTGTCAAGGTCGTTTTGAAGTGTGATCCTGTCCTCTGGGGTGTTAGCCACCCCTCCCAGTTTGGTGTCATCTGCAAATTTGATCAGGATGCCCTTGAGTCCATCATCCAAGTCGTTGATAAAGATGTTGAATAAGACTGGGCCCAAGACAGAACCCTGTGGCACCCCACTAGTCACTCTTCTCCAGGATGAAGAGGAACCATTGATGAGCACCCTTTGGGTTCGGTCAGTCAGCCAGTTACAAATCCACTGAGTGGTAGCATAGTCAAGACCGCATTTTACCAGCTTCTTTACAAGAATATCATGGGGCACCTTGTCGAATGCCTTGCTGAAATCAAGGTAGGCTACATCCACTGCGTTCCCTTCATCTACCAGGCTTGTAATTCTGTCAAAAAACGAGATCAGGTTAGTCTGACATGACTTATTTTTCAGAAATCCATGCTGACTATTGGTGATCACAGCATTCCTTTCTAGGTGCTCACAGACTGTTTGCTTAATGATCTGCTCCAGAATCTTCCCTGGTATTGATGTCAGACTGACTGGGCGGTAATTATTTGAGTCCTCTCTTTTCCCCTTTTTGAAAATAGGGACAACATTTGCCCTCCTCCAGTCTGCCGGGACTTCGCCTGTTCTCCAGGAATTCTCAAAGATGACTGCCAGTGGTTCTGAGATCACATCTGCCAGTTCTTTTAATACTCTTGGATGCAGTTCATCTGGCCCTGGAGACTTGAATACATCTAAACTAGCCAAGTATTCTTGTACTATCTCCTTAGTTATTCTGGGCTGTGTTTCCTCTGCTGAATCATTTGCTCCAAATTCTTCAGGTCGGGCATTGTTTTCTTTATCGGAGAAGACTGAGGCAAAGAAGGCATTGAGGAGTTCAGCCCTTTCTGTGTCCTCTGTTTGCATTTCACCATCTTCTCCTCTGAGTGACCCCACTGTTTCTTTGTTCTTCCTTTTGCTACGAACATACCCATAAAAGCCTTTTTTGTTGCTTTTAACCTCTCTAGCAAGCCTGAGTTCATTCTGTGCTTTAGCTTTAGTGTCCCCCCTGCCAGGCCCATAACTGGCGGCGATGGGAATTGTAGTTCACAATCTCTGATGGCCGCTCTATGGAGTGTCCCCCAAGTCTTGCCAGGGATTCTTCTACCCCTTTCTCCCCATTCCTCACCCCACAGTGATGGGCTTGTCTCTCTCTTCTCTGCCTGCAGGACTCATCAGTTAGACTTCGCTGCTCCATCAGGATCCTGGGATGTGGAGAAGCTCTGTTCTTCCTGCCAGTTGCCCTCTGTCCATGCTCAGAGGGTGGAAACCTCCTTGGAAGGTGGATGGAAGGAGTCACAGATCAAGAAGGACAGTGTCCACCCCTCCCCCACCTCTGTTGCTTGCTTGTCATTTGGGGAAAGTTTCTTTTTGTGTTTCCCTTTCCGCTTGTGGATTGCAAGTTATCTCAACCTGATTTTACTTCTTTGCACCTCTCTGCTAGAGAATTTGTGCTTTGAATCTCCCTGGAGGAGCCTGAACTGACCCTGCTACTGGAAAATCCGAGGGCTCCCTTGGATAAAAATAAAGACACCAACCAGGACGACTTGGAGCAAATCAGCAGCCTGTAGGCTTGGCCTTTATTTAGATACTGTCGCGACAGGACTCCCACCCGCTACAAGGCGAAGCAAAATGGAAGCCCCAAACAAAGAAAGACCCCAACTTTTATTAGTTCCTAATTCCCTAAATTACACCCCTAGAAATACATCATAACTATATCATGACTACATTATAAACAGGAGGGGTCAGGGGAGGGGTTGCGCAGGTAACGTGAGTATCATGACACCTGGCCGGTGCCCCTTCTCCCCCTCCCCATGAGTCATTTTCGGAAGACAAAAGGGTAGGCACAGTTTCCTGCCCCCTGAGGGGGAATCCGATCACTGTTCTTTTGTCATAGTCCATGTTGAATCCACTCATGTATGCAGTCCGTTGTGTCCTTGCCACCCCCCCCCTTTGATAGTCCTTGTCATATGAAGTAAAATAAAAGTGGTCCGGTGCAAATCCGACATACGGCTGATTTATAGTGAATTTATAACGAAAACTGTCAAAAAGAGTTCAAAGACACTTTCACTTCCGGAAGCAACTTAATACATTTTGATAGGATTAGTCATGGTCAATTAAACCCGGAAACTTTGTATCGAGAGCTATCAAACTATAGAGAAGGGTGCGCATTAGTCTGCAGTACCTGCGTAGCTGCCACAAGGGGTGCTGTTCGGTAACGCTGATTGGCTGAAGCGGCAGCCGTTTGACCTAGGGTTCAGAAAACTGGTCTACCCATGAAAAGAATACGGCGAAGAAGGGTTTTACGGTCAACCCATGGAAAAGCTATAGAAAAGGGGTTTCAATACGGAGAGCTGTCAAATTAGCGCTTCCTTATTTACGGAAGGCTTTTAGGGGATGCCCCTCTAAATGGGGCATCTCCGGGGTCGGGGAAGGTGGGAGGGGTGCGTGTGGTGCTTGGGCTGTACATTGGAATGGAAGGAAGTTCCTGCTACATCCCTGAAAACAACCATGAATCTGGTCAGACTGCCAGGACTGGTCCTTCAAGCCCTGATGTGGAGCCTCACAACTGAATTGGGGAGGGGTTACATGTGGCCTCCCAAACCTCTCCATGTGGCCCCTGGGACTCTCCCCAGCCTTGCATTGCCCCTTCCTGCAGAGTCTTTGCCTGGCTGGGATTTTGTCCTTCTATTCATGTTTCTTGCTTGCCTTGACGGAGGATGGAGAGGATAGGGTGAGCTTGTGCAGAGACTAGTTTCCTGTGAAAAATTAACACTTGCCTTTCATACTCTGCTCTTGCCCACCAATGGCATGTGGCCCCCAGAAGGTTCCCCAGAAGAGAATGTGGCCCTTGGGCTGGAGAAGGTTCCCCACACCCCCTTCCTCCCCCCAACTCTGCCTGGATGAGCTTCCCTTCACCTGGGGGGAAAGGGTCACCGGAAGCTGCCTTGGACTGACTCCATCCAGCTCAGCCGTGTCTGCACTAGATCTGCTCCAATATGCCCACACGGACTGGCAGTGGCTCCCTTGAGGTTTCAGGTGGAAAGTCTTTCTAGCCCTTCCTGGAGACACTAGGGATTGAGCCTTCTGCACTCTGAGCAGCTGCTCCGCCACTGAGATACAGTTTGCATCTCCTGAGATACAGTTTGCATCTACAGTTTGGGAGAGTCAATATTTTTATTGCTTCAGCCACTGTCCAGAGACTCTCCTCCATTTGAAGTTTCTAGGTTGGATGGCCATCTGTCATGGATGCTTGAGATTACTCATTGCAGGAGGTTGGGCTAGATGACCCTGTCAGTGTTTGTAAAAAATAAAAAAGTGTTCTGATCTCCCTTTGTCTCCTCAGCCTGGTCCTCGGGCCCTTGTTGGCATAAAAGAGTCCATGAGAAGAGTATCCCTGCAGAGTACTTTCTGCTTTTATTCTTAAAAGCCTTTCTGCAAAAGCGACTGACACACATCAACACTACCAGCTTTCACTAACTAACCAACCAACCCAACACGAAACTAACATTTCTCACTCTATATATACAACCCAGTACAGGCCGCTGACTCATGCTGACCCAGCTTTTTTAAGCATTAAAGAAACAGCGGCCAATTTTTAGCCATGACATTGGGTCCCTTACAATTCTACGATTCCGTAAAATGGTGAATGGCCAAATATGCGGACTTGACTATGCTACCACTCAGTGGATTTGTAACTGGCTGATTGACCGAACCCAAAGGGTGCTCATCAATGGTTCCTCTTCATCCTGGAGAAGAGTGACTAGTGGGGTGCCACAGGGTTCTGTCTTGGCCCCGGTCTTATTCAACATCTTTATCTTTTTTTAAAAAAAATCAATTTTTATTAAGATTTTAAAGGTTACAGGAAAAAAAGGAAAAAAAGAAAAAAGAGCAATCAAAAATGAAGAAAAAAATGAAAAACAATACACATCCAAAAACCAAAAAAAGAGAAAAAAGAGAAAAAGAAATAAAAAACAAGTCAAACCTTTAACTCACTTACTTACATTCACTTATTTTCTTGACTTCCTCACACCTCCCATTTTTGTATTCTAATTCAATTAGATATTCCAGCAAATCCTTCCAGCTTTATTTTAATCCCAATAATTTATTTTAACATACTATAATTCCACTCTTTATATTCTAATTCATATAAATATTCCAACCAACCCTTCATCTTATTTTTATCCTTATATCTTATCTTATTATACTATAATTTCCCATTCTTTCTTTCACCAGATAACCATCCACTTTTACTTTATCCAATATTAACTCTCATCCAAACCTATATATCTATACTTATTCTTAAGACGTTTCCCTAAGGTCAAAAAAGATTCCATTCCACGAATTTCCCATCTCTCATTAAGAAAACAAAAAACAAATTATATTATATACACTTTAAATTCCCAATTTCCTTCCACCAGATCCCCTCCCCGGTTTCGGTCCCCAGCAAAAGTCCATCAATCTCGTAAAGCCATCAACCCGGAGATCTTAAATGCGAGGCTCTTAAATCTCTTTCATGTCCCCTCTGCCGCTCTTTCATGTCCCCTCTGCCGGTCTTTTTGATAGTCTTTGGAAGTCTCAGGGAAGCTCCAACCCAACGGTAATCATATTCCTTCCTGCCAAACTTCCATGGTTAAAAATAGGGCCTATAGGATATTCCAAATCTTGTTTCACGCTCCTTTCAAATCCAAAGGCCCCCGAAACTCCAACCTCCACCTGGCTCAGATTTGTAATCCAAAGGTCATCTGATCTCCACATAAGGTGATTTGCATCTGTAGGGTTACGGCTCCCCCTTTCTTCACTTCAATCACAACATAATTCTCCTTCTCAAAATTTCCGGTTTGTTCAGTTGAAGGAGGTTCCTGTGCCGAATTCTTATTGAGTTCTTTACTAATACCCACTTTTGTTCCCAAAGTTATAACATTAGTAGTCAAAACATTTATCTGGTCTTGCAGCTTTCCCAAGAGAAAAAATGTCCTGTTCAATTCAGACTCAATTTCCTTCCCGACCGCCATCCTTAAACAGTCCAAGGTCAAAAAACAATTTCCCAGCTGCTCCTTAAAAACAGTGTCCCAAGCTCCCTCTAGAGGGATTCAAGTTCCTTTTCACTCCTTTCAGCACAGACCCAAAAGTCCCATAAGTTAAAATGTAACAGTCCTTCCTTCGTTTTAAACATAAGCTCGTAACAAAGATAGACAATAGAAACAAAGTCCTCTTTTGTATCTTGACAGCTAACTTGACAGCTGTCAAATTGATCTTTTCATCGTCAACGGGCTCTCACGGACCACTCCCGGGTTCAGGGAAGTGGCACTTCAAATCCCAAATTTTGTCCTTCTCCTGCAGGCTGCCCTGCTTCCAAGAAAAATTGATGGTAATTTCAATCAGTAGAATTAAAATCCTTTACATAAAACTCTCCACGACTTTAGTTGACAGGTTCTTTGCTTCAGTTTATTTACAGAAAGGGGAGGCGGACTTCCTGTTTGGACCTTCCCCGATCGGTGCCAATTTAAAAATACTTTAAAAGTCCAATTTTTGCGCTCTCTGGCAACGGCTGTGCGGCTTCACTCCGTAAAAATAGCGGTCGATTCGAAACACCGTGCCGCTCACCCCACGTCACTTCAGACCCCCCGAAAAGGGGTTTCCCTGTGGGTAGGGGGGTGCTCCTGGTGTCAGCCGAATCCCACGTTCCCAGGCTTCCTCCGCCTGGGATTTTTAAAGGGTCTCTGCCTTCACCGCGGCGGCAAGACCCGATTTTCACGGAGCGGGTTCCTCTGGATCAGAGGAATTCCGCCATTACCGATGGCGCTAACCCAGAAGTCCCTATTCAACATCTTTATCAACAACTTGGATGATGGACTCAAGGGCATCCTGATCAAATTTGCAGATGACACCAAACTGGGAGGGGTGGCTAACACCCCAGAGGACAGGATCACACTTCAAAACGACCTTGACAGATTAGAGAATTGGGCTAAAACAAACAAGATGAACTTTAACAGGGAGAAATGAAAGGTATTGCACTTGGGCAAAAAAAATGAGGCACAAATACAAGATGGGTGACACCTGGCTTGAGAGCAGTGCATGTGAAAAGGATCTAGGAGTCTTGGTTGACCACAAACTTGACATGAGCCAACAGTGTGACGCGGCAGCTCAAAAAGCCAATGCAATTCTGGGTCTCATCAATAGGAGTATAGCATCTAGATCAAGGGAAGTAATAGTGCCACTGTATTCTGCTCTGGTCAGACCTCACCTGGAGTACTGTGTCCAGTTCTGGGCACCACAGTTCAAGAAGGACACTGACAAACTGGAGCGTGTCCAGAGGAGGGCAACCAAAATGGTCAAAGGCCTGGAAACGATGCCTTATGAGGAACGGCTAAGGGAGCTGGGCATGTTTAGCCTGGAGAAGAGGAGATTAAGGGG